TTGAATTGTGAGAAAGAATTTCAAAACCTCTGCAAAAATACTTTACGAGACATAATAGAGTGAAAAAAAATTCATGTAGTTTTTTATCTTTTTGGCGTACCAGCTGTAGAAAAAAAATTTTCTCTAAATCGACAAAAATTTTTTTTCGAAAAAATTGGAAAAAAAAATAGTACAGCAATACGGGAAGTATTGCTCGCCGCTGGAAGGTACACCATGCGCGAAAAAAAGGAAGACCAGACACATTGGTAACTTTGTACTAAACGACACGAAAGATTTCGGTTGCTTTAATTAGAGACAGCAAAAGCCGATGTGTAAAACCCTGCGAAGAAGTGGAGTGGAACCCCTGGAGGTTAGGTTAAAAGATTATAACAAAGAAACTATGGGCTCTAGGCTTTATACAGCCAATGGACAGAAAGACTATGAACGCAATAGTTGATGGACTCTACCCAAACCAACCCATAATGGACGAAGTGACTAAGGACTTACGGACAACAATACCCGAGTTTGTCGAGGCGGAGCTCTACCGAGCCATAACATTTTGTTGATGTGTTTTCTACCTAATCAAGTTTCAATTAGTAACATAAAACAAAAGATTATTTGTCTGAATTATTATTTGTCCAATTATGAGGAAACATCCTCTTGTCAATATGCAATTACTTTATAATGGTATAATATTTCTTTTAGTACATCATTGTATAACAGAAAACATACAAGCTAGTTCTACAAGATTTAATATAAGTCAACCCCTAGATTACAATTACTATTGCATTTCTCTTTTTATTCCTTTTAGTGCTGATTAAAGTCCAAAAAATTCGAAGCAATAAATTACAACATTACACTTATTAATTGTACTCAAGAACGTAGTAAAAAATTCGATTTATATCAATAAGACGAATTATCTAATTCATCAAAAAGCTCAAAAACCGAAAATCGTGTCTTTGGTCTCAGCCACGTGATAATCACGTAGCTAAAACGCCATTTTGTGAATGTCCAACTCGCGCTCATGATCTCTTTTCAATTCCAGCAACGAGTGTTTGATTTAAAGCCTACTTTTTCTGAGTATGAGACTAAGTCGTTTGCTTATTCTGGTCAGCAGCTATTAAATACTCTAAGTATGACATACGTAGATTGACACAAATAGGATTAACGAGCTAGGCAAATGGGTAACCGACATTTTTTTCACATTAGAAATCGAACAAAGAGAAAATGTTATATGCCATGAGTATTTTTCACATCTACCGGCAAGATTTGTATTACCTATTGAGACGGGGGAGAGGGAGGAGAAAAATAAGTAGTAGTCAGTTTCCCGGTCATGACTGCCGCCAGCGGCGCAGTTAGCCGAGGTGTGCAGCTTTGTTTAGTTGAGTTGGGCGCCAGCTACCGTGCTCTCGCGTTAGGAGAACAGGTAGCGCTGCAACGTCGGCTGTCGGGTCCTGGTCGCTGTGGGTATCGGGTGGTTTTCACACTGTCTCCTTTCTCGTCGTCGTCGATCTCGCGCGGATGATCACCTGTAAGAAATGAAAGGATGAGTGCGAAATCCTATACGTAAGTCGTTCGGGTAGGGTGGAGGGAATACCGAACGAAAGAGAAAGGGACAACGGGTAGTTTTTAGCCACCCACGGCTGCGGCTCGTCCGGCTAGTCAGGTGTTGTTCGAGGCACTAGGCTCTCGCCTCGGGAACGGGTAAATCGAGAGGCGTCACAGGGGCGCCTCGTTAACGGATCAGTAGCCAGGAGAGAGGTTCCCTCCGGTTCTTTGTCGACTGGTGGCGTGGTTCACGCGACAACGGTTATTGGGCTGGGCGGCAATCAAGTCGTTTACATGTGCGTTCGTTAATCTCGGAACCGATCGCGAAAGCTACGGGGGATGAGGTTATCAAGAGGGCAAAGTCAATAATAAACAATAATTAATAAAGACTCGAGTTTATTAGACTAATTTATCCCTTGGGACAGCCTAGTGGTCAGCTACTCGCGATGGTCTGCCTGATCTAAGATAATAAGGGCGCGAATTGCGTACTGCGACGCAACGTCGACTTGGGCGGTCGTTAATACGAGCGGTCTTGATGGATTGCGAACGCGTGGTTATGCAATATTCAAACTATTTACTTCATGCGCTAGCTCAGGAATTTATTTAAGTAGACTCGCGCGCGCGGGATCGGTCGGTCGCGCAAAGGTCAGGCGTGGCCCGCGTAATGTATGTATATCCGATTGACTTCAGAGAAGGAATTTGTCAACGCGAATAAGAGACTCGTCGCCCGCGCGAAGTTCATGCAGTATTCACTCTTGTTTGGCACGTAACAAAGCCCATCAGGAAAAACGACTGTGAATAGACGCGCGCACTGAAAATCCGTTTCCCGCGCGAAGGTCATACGGCACTCGACAATTTGATTTAACAAGAATATCGTATGACGGGGATCAACGAAACTGATGCGCGTACGGGGAGTTCGTGCCTGCGCGAAAGCCAGAAACTCGTTAATATAACAATTTAGCCGAAAAAACTTGCGTAAGGGAAAATCTGCGATCAACCGACGCACACGCGAAGAATTTACGAATATACGTGCGCGCGTGAAGAATTTGTCACTCAGGCGACACTCAAAATGACGGAATAACAAAGAAAGGCGTCCGAGAGGTCCTGGCAAAAGGTGCGCGCTCGAGGAAATCTTATCGGACGCGCGAAGGTCATGCGGCACTCCCGAAAACGCGGACACGGACAATTACTTGACTCACAAAACGGAAAGGCTCGTTATTAATCGGCAACTCGTTATGGTTAGGCGAGGGTTTTACGGCACATAGACACGCGCGCGTGAAAATTTCGCCTTCGGACATTAAACGGCAACGGCGCAACAATGGACTTCACCCGGAAAATCGATGACGAAAATGCGCACAAATAGATCGGTCTGACGCGCGAAGGTCATACGGCACTCTCGAAAACGCGGATATTTAAACGATCGCGCGACTCTTTAAGAGAGAAAGGGGAAACGTACTCACTCTTGCGTTTGTTCAGGTGTATCACGATCGTGATTATCGCCGCTATCGTCGCCGAAATTAACACCGTCTTTGCCGCCGTCGTTGCTGCCGTTGCTGCTGCTGGTTGTTGCTGCCGATTGCTGCTGCTATTGCTGCTGCTCGCTCTGTTGCTGCTCACTTTGCTGCTGCTGCTCACTCTGCTGTTGCTCACTCGCGGGTTTAGACCTGGTTCGCTCCAGAGTCTAGCGGGACGTCTGGTCGGCATCAGGGCTGAACGAGTACTGGCGTGGCGTTTTTCGGCGACGCGCCGCTTCTCCTTGCTTACCTCTCCTTAACGGTTATGCGATTGGTCGGTTTGTTGCTAAGCCGGATGTTAGCGCCGTCTATATCGGTATTTCTTGTCCACGTCATTTCGTCATTGGTCGAGTCTTGGTGCCTAATTTCCCTACTGGTTGCGAAGATAGCGTCGGTTTTACTCCATTTGTCTAGCTACTCCTAAGCTGATAACAATTGGTTAATCCGTTAGCGTCGCTTGCCTATCCTTGTCTATCTGCTTCTCGTTGGTCTTACCGGTTCCTCTCACTCGCGTCCGATCGGTCTCGTATCGATTGTCTCGCTCGCTCTCACGCGCTCGGTTGCCCCTACTTCGGTCTAGCCAGGTCTGCCTTAGTTAACGGGGGTTTGCGATCAGCTGATTACAGCTGGAATCTTTAAGGGCTTCCAGCTTCCCGGGGGAGTATCGGATCGGATCGTGAGTGTGCGACGGGTTGTACGCCGGCGTAAGAGTCGTGCGCATCGGTCGGGTATATGGGCAATAGCTGTTTGGCCGCACGTTTCTAGCAGGAGTGGGGTTAGCATAAGGTAGCATAGATTTCCCTGTGATGACGCATCATCACACTATTTATTCACAATCTGTAAATTTCGCCGCATTCATTACCTGTAACAACTACTTCAAAATCCCTGGATGCCGCCTGACTTTACCTTTCCTTCATACAAATATAAATTATTTCGACTATCTCTAAATTTCATAGATCCCTAACCTACATATATAATCCTATTTTAATTCCTATGCAAATCTATTAGAATGGATATTTACATACTTCTCTACAAATTACTACCTGATCTCCTGAAATACATTCTAGCTAGAAGCTCTTTGAATGTTCATCTTCATTCAATTCCTCCCCCATACCCCGTCGTTTCCATTCTGCCTATTAACTTCAAGTTTTTTAGTTTCTAAGATACATAGATGGATTTTCTATTATATTATAATACTTTATATTTATAATAGGAATTTTAAGCTTTTTATATTATTCTTTATATTTGGCTAAGCTATTGCCTATATGTATATTTTATTTTCAATCTATCGTTTATCTATTATATACTATTTGTAAATTGTACATTTAAAATTTTGTCATTCATGAATATATTCTATCCTTCCAGACGAAGTTGTACTTTAAGGAAGAAATAAAGTACATATCTCTCTCTTTCTCTCTCTCTCTCATGTGTATATATCTTTTATTAGTCCGTGCTCATATCTAGATAAATATAGCTCAAGCATCAGAATATTAAGTCTTCATGTGATCCTCTTAGCTGGCCATAATAGGTGAATGATGAAAGAGAGAACCAAAAGGAAATAGTTTACAAAGTTGAAATGATTTGTTACAACTACAAATTGCCAATTTATTATTCACATATCATCTTTTGATTTTTATAAAATAACTCAGTGGTTTTTAATGCATAGATTAATAACCATTGATTCGAATTTTATGTTCGAATAAACTCAACCTGTAATATAAAAAATTTTCATTTTATAATACCTTTACAAAATTAATACACTAAAAAATATGTTTTTTTTCGATTTATTTCATAAAATGTAGTGCAGACTTAATATTAAAAGTAAAGATTATTCAAACGCTATACTTACAAGTACAAGTAGCAATAAAATACTTGATTAATACAGCATCCAAATATATAAAAATTTTCAAACTAATAAAAAAATTTATAGATCACATATAGATTAAAGAATATACGAACCTGTAATGGCGATTTTGGCAGACCATTTACTAGTACCATCTAGGACTGATTGTTTAATAGATGTCATATGTTCGATGTGAGCTTCATGCTCCACTCCAAAAACCAACCTGAATTTCCATAAAATTTCATAAGTATAAAAATAATGTACCTTAGTTAGTTTTGAAAAAATCTTAAATTGTAATTAAATACGTATAACTGATACAAAAGTATGTTTTTCTAATTTTATTTAGCATATCATACCTTTGTTCATATATATATATATATGTATGTATAGAATGTTTCAGATATGAAGGATGTTCCAGATTATCCTTACATCTCTTTTAAATATTTAAAAAAAATACAAGTTTACAAGAACAATGGTTTAGATAAAAGTTACAAAAAGGTACATATCGCGGGGACCTTGTCATGAACGTTGAATTTGATTGTGAAGGTCATTTTAAGAATAACTTTGTTTTTAATAAATAGCAAACCCTACTTTTTCCTGAATTCGGCAAGAGCAAGAAATTCTAGATACATACATTTAGATAAAGTACTATCTGTTGGCCCGGTAAGCCACCAAGTTTACCCACAAAGTAATCTAATATTCAGATGCATTTTTTTTCATTCCATCTAAGGTAATATAGAAAACATGTAAGAAGGCTACCCCGTCTACCTGACATCGGAGAAAGGGCGCTAGAGCATCTGGGAGTCTGGCCCACATGTGCGACAGGCGAGCCAAACAAAGCGTGCGCATAGATAGCCTGACGACAAGCGGTCCGGGCAATGAAGAGCGATTATAACCGTAATATAAAACACATGCCGAGTCGCTTAAAGAAATATGTTGCATTAATGTATCGCGTTAGTTTAAGGACAATGTGTTTAAGTGTAAGAGGAGAGCGGGTTGATCGTCCCGTCTGATATAGCATGAATGAAAAACGTGTTGAACTCGCTTGCGCTCTCGGTCTGACCCATTAACGTGGGCGTGTGCCGAGTGCACATCGTCACCGTGAAGCCACAATTTGCAGCTTCCAGACATTAATTCTTGAAGGCTGTAGATCTCACAGGAAGATTATCTCCTTGATATGCAGGTCATATGTTTACGGGCAGGGTAGGCTTCGTGTCGACTCTGGGTCCGGAGGCTGACGGGCAGGGGCGCAAGCAGTAACGAAAGTAGTAGAAAACAAAGGCGAGAATATATTGCACATGTTACGGTATCAGGTAAATATAGCCTGCTAAGACGCGTTCAGTTTCAGTCCACGGAAAACTTTGACAAAAACGGTCACACCGGTCCCCTCTTATAATTTACTTACGTCAATTTTTTGTAAACTGGCTTTTTACCGTTCAATACCAGGTTTTTGATGCTGGTCTATTATTAAGTAATAAATAAACCAATCAAAATTATAAATAATCTTTTCTGCTGCTCCTCACCCCTTACGAATTTAGTGCCCCGGGTGAGGAATCTAAAAAAAAGTAAGCAGAAACTGGAAAAAAGGAAGTGAACTGTGTAGTATTGTGAAAATTAAGGGAATAATTGTGCAACACTAGACACTATGGCCGCAAAAAACGACAAGCTACCACAAAAATTGCAGCCACGAACGCTAAAAGACGTCAACCTAACGCTAACCAAGAGGTTCCAGCGACAAATCTACCACCCGCTCCTGCAACTGCCCCGATAGAGGAAGCAACAGCACCTACTTCAACGGATCCACCTCTAAGGACGCCACGAGCAATTACGGCGCCGAAGCAGAGTGGTTGACCAACAACAACGGGGACAACTGCATCATCCCCGATAACTGTTCGTGCGAGGAATCAACCTCACATCAACGACATCAGTGCAGCCGACGACGTAAGTGCTAGCAGCATGCGTGATGATGCTAATAACTTGCGCGAGAACTCAGTCGAGAACGCGTTACTCTTATTGTCCGAAACGTTAATTGAAACAATAAATGTAATGCGTATGTTCGTGACATGTGCGCTCAATATTTTTGGTTCGTGCGCTATCTCTGCGATCATCAGTGAGGACGCTGCATCTCTCCATCAACAGCTGAACACGTGTGGGGAAAATCCTAAGGTCCCTACATGTGTCACCGGTCGCATGACAGACGTTACACACGTTGAGGTCATACTGGCCTAAACTAGCCGTCGTTGATGTCGGCTAGATAAAAGTCTGGATGGAAAGATGCATCATCTTCAAGGCTCCTCATTGGTTTCTGCTTGAAGCCCCTAATGAGAGTAGGCGTTTTCCGCGTTTTCAATGCGGCAGACCTAACAGAGTGACGGCCAGTTGTCTTCAGAGGATAGAGAAGCCCACTTCGCTCTTGTTTTGCGTCCATTTTTTCGTGTGCAACTTAAGTGTGTGAGTTGTGCCTACGTGCCCGCTGCTATCTCAAGCTTCTGCGAAGCTGCAACCGACCCGGTGACCCGTCGAGGTCCAAGGACAGGACAGCCTGCTGCCTTGGGAGAGGACGAGACGCGTCCTCTGGGGTGTCTCTAACCACGCGGCTTTGCCCATTCTCTTCTCGGCTACGAGGTAGCGAGGGCTGACCCGTTTCCGAGACGTCGGAGCTACCGAGGGCCTTTTCATTATCCTGGGGACACCTTCCTGCCCGATTGTGCGTATGCGAAAGTCACCGGAGTAGTTTTTAAGTAAGTTGAGTGGCCATTCAACCGCGCCTTAATGTAAGTTCATGTAATGTATTGTAACATCTTTCTGTTCTTTGTTTGACCTTGTTTATTCAAACCAATCGGATTTGTATATTTGTGATTGCCAAATGGTTTTTCCCTCACCTACGACTGGGGTTTTTTATGCCGGCTGACAATTATAATTATATTTATAATCCTTATTTTATTAATAAAATAGTACGTTAAAGAATTCTGGTTATTAGTGTAAAGTCAATCCAAACCTCCCTTAAAACAAAACAAAATAAATAACAATATCATTCGGACTTCGAATCACAGAGTATAATTTAACTTTGTGCCTCACTTCTTACTTGCACCTCTATCAAGTAAACATGGCGCCCAACGTGGGGCACGATTTTGTAATTGCATAATCAGAATTCTTTATACGACAAAACAGAGATATGTCACACCGTCGCATGTAAGAGAATGAATATGTGCGTTCGATATTGAATCATAGCTTGTAAGATTATGAATATAGTGTAAAGTTGGAAGGTCCATCACGAGCTTGTAGCTTTATTCTTCAACTTAGCTTAATAATTAATCGTTCATTACCATTGTCTTGAAGTGTAGCATCATGCCACCAATACCGTTAGCTCGACTTGTAGCGTTGCAAAATAGCCGAGATAACGAAATTCGGCAAATCGGTGATCGAATGAAGGAACGCGATAATGACACGCTGAATCGAACCATAGTACAAACCCGTATTGACACTATCAATACTATTTGGGCTGATGCATGCAAGACGCATAATGACATCACGTTGCGCGCGGATTCGGACGAGCATCCGTACACCCAGGAGAATGTATTTCAAAATATGCGTCGCGTGTACGAGGAAACTTTCGACTGGTTAGTCACAATAATCGCGAATTTCCCGAGCGGAGAGGAGCGCAATCCTTGAAGACGTGAACGTGACGACGATGACAAAGATGATTACCCAGTAAAATTGCCAAAGCTTGATTTGCCAACCTTCTCAGGTAGATACGAAGACTGGGATAGCTTCGCGGATCTTTTCACTTCGCTGGTACACGACGCGCCGCGAATCAAGGACACTACCAAGCTGCAGTACTTGAAATCGTGCTTGAAGGGTGCGGCAGCCGAATTAGTCAAAGATGTAGCTGTTCGCGGTATCAATTACGCGTCGACATGGAAGGCGTTACAAGACCGATTCCATAACCCGCGCTTAACCATAAATAAACTATTAGATTCCCTTTTAACTTTACCTTATCTAAAAAGAGAATCAGCTGTTGAATTGCTTGCGTTTGTTGATGAGACACACAGAATTATTCGCGCACTCACCAATCTGCAAGCACCGGTAGCACATTGGGATCTGCTCCTCGTTCACATAATTGAAATTCGTCTGGATTCCGAGTCGCGAAAATCCTGGGAATCGGAATTAACTGCAAGAGATCGCCAACGAGCTATTGATAGGCACACTAACGAGACTAATTACATCGCGAACTTACCGAAATTTGTCGATTTAATCGCGTTCTTGGAGAGACGGGCTCAATCTCTTTCGGCTGTACTTGCAAATAAAGATGACAAAAGGTCATATCAAAATTCAAACTTCAATTCCTCTTCTTTGTCGAGAAGAGTTAATCACATGCAAGCTGGAACGCCGACTAAAGCAGCTAAATGTGCTCTTTGCTCGGGCGATCATTTCATCTCGCGTTGCCGTATTTTCAATGCTAAAAACGTAGACGAAAAACAAAACGATGTACGACATTTACGACTGTGCTTCAATTGTCTTGGAAACCACAAATTTAAAAACTGCAAATCTACCTATAGCTGTAAGCATTGTCGCGAAAAACACCACTCTTTATTACATATTTTCAGCAGAAAACCGAATAAACAGCCTAACAACATCTCAGACACGAACGTACCAAGCGATAAAATAATTCCCGCGTCGCAAGGTCAATTGAACGATGCTCGAACTTCACCTGTCCTGACGGTGAATACATGCAAAACAACTGTTCTCAACGAGAACACTATTCTTCTAGCGACGGCTCGGGTTAAAGTGATAGGTCCAAAGGGAAGGCAGGCGCGCGCGAGAATACTCCTTGATCAGGGTTCCGAGGCTACTTTCATATCCGAATCACTTGTTCAGTTACTCCGACTTCCGAGAGATCGCATTACCGACACCAATTTAACGGGTGTCGCTGGCTGCCAAGCCGGAGTTGCTAAGTTTGCAACCAGCTTCACGATTAAATCGGATGTTGATTCCGATTTTGAAATTGAAGTAAACGCGTTTATTTTACGGCAACTTACTTCCGCATTGCCATCTCGAACTTCTATCGATTTTGACCTTGAGCTATTCGAGTGCATGACTCTTGCGGATCCTGATTTTTACCTCTCGGACAGAGTCGATATTATGGTAGGAGCCGACTTATACGGTCAGTTACTGCGCGACGGGCTTAAGAAGTTCCCTGACACTCTCTTAGTAGGACAAAAC